GTGGGAGGAAGGTAGTCTTGCATGCGTTTGGAAGGGTCAACCAAAGCCTGAGCATTGTTTCCATGATGAATGGCTCAGGGCTGTGTTTATTTGACTGTTTTCTAAAGGACCAGGCATTGTTTCCAAGGTGAATGACATGGTTGCTGTGTTTATTTAGTTGTTTTCTTGGGAACCAGGCATTGTTTCCATGGTGAATGGCCTGACTGCTCTAGTTAACTCTGGGGGTTTGCCTGATTGAAGGAGTTTAAGTTCTTGTGTATTCTAAGGGAGGATTTCTGGTCTAAGGCTAAGCATTGTTTCCATGGTGAATGGTTAGCCTGAAAACCACGCACATAAGTTAGACTGAGTATAAAGGGAAAATACTTTATATATATTTGCATGTGAACTGACAGTTGGGCATTGTTTCTACTGTGAATGGTCCAACGTTAAACCATATCATTAGAAAGAGAAAAGAGAAAATACAAAGTGTAAATAGAAATAGTCTGGGCAAGTTGAACATTATTTCTACTGTGAATGGTTCAGTCCCCTGCCCATATTTGTCTTTTCTTTTGAAAACAAAGTCAGATAAATACTAAACTTTGGATATTAAACAGCTCCGGGCGACTAGGCATTGTTTCCATGGCGAATGGCCTAGTCATATGCTCAAAAGAAGAGAGAAGTAGTTGTGCAACCTGTTCGTGTATATTTTAAAGGCAAGTTGGGCATTGTTTCAGTGGCGAATGGTCCAGTTCTATGTCTTATGTAAGAGGGAAATAAGGGTTCAAGGACTTAAAAGATTCATAAACTATCTGTATGGAATAAACTTGAGATGGTGAGAGTACTTACCTTTGTGGTTTGGCTTGCATGTGACTAAGTGAGGCGACTACTTTATTTGGGTTTCAATATTATAGGTAGTTGCTTTAGTTGCTCACCACGTGCTAGAGCCATAGGAGTTAATGTCAATTCCTGCATTTTCTGTAATAACTTTTTTTACTTAGATCAATTCTTGCATATTCTCAGATTTTTTCTTATACTTGGCTTTGTATAAATATTGGCAAGCTATTTTCTCTAAGGGAAGCGCAGACGAAATTTCTACAAATCCACAGAGTTAGTTGAATTTTGACTTGTCGAAAGTTCAACTTTGTCTTTTCTCTTATCTGACTTAGTTAAAATCTGGGAAGTCTCCTTTTCTAAAGGGAGTGCTGCCCAAATTTTTGTTAATTCAGGGAGTTTGACAAAATTGAACTTTGGAAAGTCAAAGTTACTTTCAAATTCTAGACTTAGCCTTGTATAAATTTTGGAATAGCACCTTCCTAGAGGAAGTGTTGTCGAAATTTCTACAAAATTAAGAAGTTAGTCAAATTCTGTCTAAAAGTTGAACTCGAGCTGTCTTTCGAGTTCATATCTGACTTAGTAAAAATGTGGGAAGTCTCCCTTTCTAAAGGGAGTGCTGCCCAAATTTGTGTTATTTCAGGGAGTTAGACATGATTTTGACTTTCCGGAGTTAGAAATTATTTCTGGTCACATATTCGGGCTAATATAAATTCTGGAAATACATTTTTTTTTTGGTAAGCGATGCCGAAATTTTCTTAGTTTAAAGGAGTTAGACTATATTTCGACAGGTGGCAATTCTGGCGATCCACCCTGTATAATGGAGACTCTGCCAAGATGTACCTTTACTTTGGGCACTGCCTAAAGGTAGATTTAAGCTTAGATTGTAGGGTGAGATCGTGATTATTCTCCATGAACTTATAGCTTTAGCCTGGGGATTGACCTGTCTTGTGTTACAGGTCCTCTGGACCGTTTGATTCAGGACTTGGGGTAGCTTCAGCTTGATCCTACGAGGATCATCTTCTATTATCATTGATAACAGGTCGGTTGCCGATTCGTCGGTTTACGATTAAACTCCAATTCACTCATGCCACTCAACCTAAAGCCTTTAGCCTTGAGATCTAAATTGTTTTGTTGTGTTTTTACCCAGACTTTATTGAATGGCCATCCAACAAAAGTACTGAGTATTTATTTAAGAGTTGCACGAGTGAGGCTTGTATGGCTAAAGCGAGGGGTATGAGTGCAAGGAATGGTTGAAGTTGACCCCGTGTAGTGCGTGGACTTCTGGTTGAATCTTTGATGTGATTGCAGGTATGGTTGTGGTTCGGACTCTGGATGTGATTGGCTGCGATTTCATACATATATGGCTGAGAGGAGCCTCACTGTGACTGTGATAAGTGATCGTCTTATATAACCAACCCTTATATATTTATGAGTGCACTGAGTGTTCGCGAGACCACCGATAACTGTGCATAAGGGTTATCCATATTTTGTCCTAAGAGGGAAGAAAGATTCCCTTTTTACCCTTGCTTGTTAGAGGTTTTTATGGTTGGACGTTGTAGTCTGTGGCAGCCGTCAAAGTCAAACCCCTTGACTTTCGCTCAGGCCCGGAGAGGGACTTATCTCCAGGGCAGTAAGAAGCGACTGCCACTACAGGTGTGGACCTGTATACCACCCGCTCTGCATAAGGTGCAGAAGAGGGTGTGTGGTCTTCAACSGCGTATGGCGGTTGTCCAGCGTCGAGAGATTAACCCTGAAGGCGCGTGTCAGCCGACACTTGAGTGTCGAATGCGACCCTCCAGATTAACGAGGACCGCACGAGTGTGGGTATTACATAGTACACCATGATTGCGACTGCTTGCGTACGCTTACATTGTGAGCCGATATGAGTTAGCCCTGCGTCCGCGCGGTTTTATATCAAGTCTCGCGAGCGACGCCTATCCGATTTCTCTATCGGAAAGTTATGGGATGACTACTAAGGGACTAGGAGTGTTCTCGCGTTGTTTGTGTTGTGTCGTTCCGTATGTGTGCGTGTGTATGTTTCTTTGTTTTGTGTTCGTAAAGTGGTGTGCGAATGGTGTGTGGGATGCGTCCTAGTCGACCGGCGACGAACCACGCATGGGACCTTAGCCCCCCAAGATGCCGGTTCGCGTGCGGGTTTGATAGAGGCGTACTACCGCGCGTACCCCCTATGCTACAACGAACGAGAAACGCCCTCGGATAGTCCACCTCTGCGATTGCAACTGATTAGCTTTCGTACTGTGGACTGGTAGCTCGGCGGGGATATGCCCACCGAAAGGAGGTGACAGCTCCCGTAAGGTGTAGGTAAGTCGTGCCTCGCGTAGGCCCTATCCTGTCATAGGGGCTCGCGAGAGGTATGGCTGGTGCACTCGGCCGGAGCGGCTTGTGGAAGCTCCATGTATGTTGCGACGAAGGATTTTATCCAACTCCTGCGTGACGCGGCCGGGAGGGTCCCGCGCTGCCCCGTGCGGTGCCGGACCAATGCGCTCGACAACGCACTACTACCCCGTAAGCTCACTTTCTCCTTAGACGCTTAGGCTTGCTGAACTGAAAAATGTTACCTATGCTTCCTGAAGCCTACTCCGAACTGTTGGCCAGTAAAGGGTAGGTTCGGACGAGGAAGAAAGAAAACAGCCATGGTTACTAATGGAGGATTTACCTTGCTGAATTAGAATGTACTTACCCCAGATTTTCGCTCGTTACAAGCGACGTTACTGTGGAAGGTCTCACCACGTTGTTGTCTTCTGCAGGGATGCGGCTCCAGTCTGCGGCGGCGCGGGCCAGCGCGAAAATCCAAATGAGGAAAAGACTCCCGGAATGGCAAAATCTCGTGTAGAAATATTACCGGGCCAGGCTGCGTGGGGTACCCCTGCTTACTGCCCAGTTAACTGCCAGGCCTGTTCACCAGCCTACCCTGGTCACACCGTGGCGGGACAAGTTCCTAGCCTCCCGTGCTCTCCAGAGGGGGCTCCGTTTCTTTCCGCAATTTGTCGTCAGCCGTGAGGCATTGGGAGACCCTGACCTCCTTCTTCTGGGTCCGAGGCGAGATGAGGTCAGCCGTGAGGCCTTGGGAGGCCCTGACCCCCTTCTTCTGGGTCCGAGGCAAGATGAGGATTTTTCCAACGGATTGGCTGCCTTCGATGCTCCTGGTCCCACGCCTAGCGAGAATTTTCCTTCCGAATGCCAGCTGAGTGACGTGATGGCCTAGGATCGCGGGTAAGTTCTGTTGACAATTCTGATAGATTGCTTCCGGATTTCTCGTCTTCAGGAAATAACCGTTTCATTATTCATACTGCCGATATCAGCTTGCTTTGCGGAACCAATGAGAAAAAAGGATGAATACCCTCTATGACAGGATATATGGACTGGACGGATCTGATCACCGTGGAGTCCTAATGTGAGTATTATGCCCTCAATCTGTGGGCAAGGTCCCACTTGCCTCGGCCCACATGCTAGCGAATAGTATAGTTTACAAGTCTGTGTGACAGTCGAAGGGGGAAAACGGACGCTATTCAATTCAGCATGTGCGTTTGCTGCCTGGGTCTAGGTCCGCTACTCTCCTCTGTGTGCAAGACCATCTCGCATATAGTGAAGAACATGGACAGATACACCTCCACGATTTTTATTTTTTATTTTTCTTGGGAAACGGACCACAATTTTTGCCTTTTTGCACATCCACGTCAGTGGGGCGGGGCCCTTTGTGTGCAGTTGGGTGTGCTCCACTACTCTCAACACGTTTCCGTGTTCTAGCAAAAGATTCACTCTCGTTTTGCACATTTCGATAGTAGTGGAGCCAAACCCTTTATTGGACGGACCTCCTTTGGGTGTAGGCGCAGCCAGAGAACGACGGGCCACAGAAAACCAAAAATAGCAAACGTGAACTATCTCTCTATGATAGGAAGAACGGGGGGAGAAGAGTAGGTTCGGCCGGCGACGGGCGCTGCGGCTGGCAATTGCGTCCCCGCGCCGCTTACCGTCTTGGTAAGCCTGTCTGGCGGCGGGCGTTTTCGTCGTGAAAACGTTTCCGTGGGTGATATCTCTTTCCCTTCGCCTTGTCGTAGGGCTATGGTGTGCTTCCATAGCGACGGTATCAGCAGACAGATACGTCTTCAGCGAACCTCCTCAAGGCCCCGAGCTAAGTTTAGCAGTGTTGTGTAACTCGTGTGTAGAGTATCTCTAAGTTCGTAGCGACAACATGGAGCCGGAAGAGTCTGTTCAGCAGGCGCAGGATGCAAGAGCTCAAGTTCCTGGTAATTACCAGCTGGAGGAGGACAGAGTGAAGGAGATGATTCGGGCGTGCTATGAGGAAGGGATTCTACCCACTAACATCGATTCAGGCAAAATGTCGGTGGAAGGAAGAGAGGCTAAGTTCGTTTTAAACTCTGCGGTAGACGAGATTAAGGTGAAATGGTTGAAAGCAAGAACGGTGACTGTCATATTTCGAGATGGCGCTCGGTTCCTTCCAAAGAAAGTGAAGGAGGATTTGATTAGAGCATATGAAGACGTTTGGATCCGCGATGAGACTTTTGGTGAGGGCTTCAAGAGAGGAAGAATCAAGGTCGAGAGTCCTAATATCGTCTTATACATTCCAAGATCTCAAGCTATTACGGATTGGATGTTGGCCAAGCGCTCCGACTTCATCGACTTATCTAATACGACCTACCGAACGGAGTTCAAGCCGTGGATGACGCGAGTGGAGGTTCGGGATTGGAGAAGAACTGTTGACGAAAGCATCTTTTGGGTGGTGGCCGTTGGCATACCGCTCGATGAGATGACGTTTATTTATGTGCACATCGAAAGAGCAATCGGCAAAATTATTAAGCATCATCAACCAGAGGCGGACGAGTCTAACCCAAAACTGGTCAACCTAAGGTTTGACCTGGATCATGCGGCCAAATCTAATATGAAGGATAAAGTATGGGTTCAAACCCATCAAGGAGACCTATTGGAGGTACGTATGGCGTCGACGGAGTCGGAGTGGTGCAGAAGATGCTGTACCTTCTTTCACCTGGAGGAGAACTGCAGACGTCCCGATGGGCGAAACCGAGGAGGTACGTCATCAAGACCTCAACAAGCCTCGACTGCTCCTGGAACTGGGGTTTCTCCTCAACCACAATACCAGGGCCCTCTTAGGGCGCCTGGTGCTTCGGTTACTCCAGTCGTAAAGTCAGCATCAAATCGGCAAGCGGCTTCCTCCTCGGCTCCAAACTCCAACATGCAAGCGGTTGTTCAACCTGTTCTTCCACCAGGAGCTACGTCCCAGTTCAATCCGGTGTTCTCGCCAGGAGCGGGTCAAATCCTACAAGGAACTGTGTCCCAGAATTTGGCTCCAGGCCAAGTTAATCCGTGGGCGGCCTTTTTCCAGAATCTGTCGATGCATCCGTTCATTTGGCAACAAACTCAAGGCTTAGCTCCTCTGGATGCTTCCTTGACCGGCAGCCCATCCTTCGTCAACCTCCAAACCTACCCTCCATGGACGCAAGCCCCGGGGGGACCAGGTGGTCAAGGCAGTTCTGGCATGTCAGGAGGCCAGGGCTTCAATAATGCAGGATCTTTACCTTCACGGGCGGCCGCCCTTGGCCCTAGTGGCTCTCGTTTACGGGGGATGTCCCCTTGTAAACAACGAAGGGTGAGCGGCACAAGTGGGGTTGACATTCAGGTGGACGAGGTTCGAGCGGAATCTTCCAAAGTTTCCAGCGAAGGTTCGTATCATTCGATTGTCTCTGTCGATCCACGTGGCAATCCCTGCTCAGCAGATAAGCGAAAATCTAATCGCGCCCGTATGGAAGCTCTCTCAAAAGGCCAATCAGGGTTGGAATCTAAGCTGATCCCCATTGTTTGTGTAAATGCTAGAGATGCCCTTTCGGTAGTTGCCTGGTTGGGATCAGATGGTTCTCCCTGCTTGTTTAGTACGTCATGTCCGAACCCCCCCATGCCGCATGCTACTGAGTCTATCACCCGCACGCTTTTCCAAAATAAATTTGCTTTACGTGTTATTCCTGAGGTTTCCATGCCCCGCTTCCTGATTGATATTGCAGGGAAACGTGCGAAGTTTTTTGCTCCCTTGTTTGATGGTCGCTTCGTTATGGGTCAATTAGAACAGTTGGAATCAGAAGGTCTCCGCCACATTCCTTTTGCCTGGTTTTTGGAGGCGAAGAAGTCTGACTTTCGCCGAATCCAAGTTTCACCAACCCTCACAACTGAGTTCTTGTATGAACTGAATACCAAACTTTTGAGTGAGAGGAAACTGGATTCCCCATTTATCAGACAGACCCTTACTGACCCTTGGCCTGGAATCCAAATTCTGATTCAACAAACTGTCCAAATGCAACGCTCAGGGACTGCCTTCGTAGATGGGCAAATTTAATATTGTCACGTGGAATGTCCGGGGCCTCGGGGATAAAGCGGGTAGAAATAGACGAGGGAGATTGAAAAGTTGGATTCATTACCAGAAATTGGATATCGCCTGCATACAAGAGACTAAGTTATCAGAGGAGAAGATCGGGGAGCTTGGAAACTGGTGGGATGGACCCCAAATTTGGTCCCCAGCTATAGGGTATAGAGGGGGTGTTGCAATTCTTCTGCATAGATCCTCTAACTTTTAGATTATTGATTATTATGTTGACCTTTGGGGTAGATGGGCATGGGTAAAAGTTTGCCTGGAGGATCAGGAATGGGTGGTTGCCACTGTGTACGCGCCGGTAGACTGTTCTGATCGTCAACGGTTCTTTTATGACCTGCCCTCTTTGATCCCTAGTTGTGGTAATTTGGTTATTACCGGGGATTGGAATACTTCCCTGGATAATCAAGAGGTTGTGAGAAGCCATTCTGACGTGAAGATTTTATTGGAAATGATTTCGGTTATGGACCTAGTTGAACCTTTCTGTTTAATGCACCCAGACTCCCCCGGTTGCACTTGGTTTTCGAACGCACGCGAGAACATCGGGGTTATTCATAGAAGATTAGATTTCTTTTTAATCTCCCCCGATGCATGGAATGCCACGGTAAGGGTTGAAAAGTCCTTTCACCCTATGTCCGATCATAAGCCTGTTCTGACCATCTTTAACTCGAAGAAATTAAGTAGAGGCCAGGGCTACTTTAGGGTTAACACTCAAATTTTGGAGGAAATTAGGTATTGTGGATTGGATGACACGGTTCTGGAAGGATTGAAATGCGACCATGGATTCATTTGCGACTAAATCAGAGTGGTGGGATGCGGGTTCCCGCATCTTTTCTAAACATCTCAGTGTCTTCTCTCGTATTCTGGCAGCCGGTCAGAAAAAGCAGGAACTCGCATTAATCAGGAAAATCCAATATGCTGAGTTCCGAATGAACTTCCATCCCATCTCCAACCGGGTGTGGGGCCCTATAAGGGCCAGCCTTATGGCTAAATGGGATGCTCTTCAACAGGCTCAATCTGAGGTCTGGGCGGAATGTCTCAAGGTAAAAGGTATCGTGGTCTATGACCGAATGACGAGGGAGTCCTTTCAACGACTCTCACCAAAATGACTCTCTTTACCGATGAGTGAGTTATGTCACTCATTTGACCGCTCGCTTCCATAGGCACGGGACCAAGATCAATTGTGTGAGTACGCTTCCATTTATTATCAAGATATCCTTACTACCCGTCGCCCCTTGGAAGACATTTCCACGGACTTGGCAGAGGGATCTTCCCATTGGGAATCCTATGCTGCTAGATTGYCTTCACATGGCAAATTGGACATGGACCGGCCCATCACCTCTGAGGAAGCTCATGAAGCGCTTCAATCTATGGCTAAAGGAAAGGCTCCGGGGGATGATGGTCTCCCGGTTGAACTGTATTTGGTCATATGGGATTCTGTGAAGGATGCCCTGGTAGACATCTATAACAATGTTCTAACCGGTGGGGAATTGTCGAAAGGGATGCGGAATGGTATCATTTCTCTGTTGTACAAAAAARRCGACAAATCGGAGATCCGTAACTGGCACCCGATTTTGGTACTTAACGTCTCATACAAACTTCTTGCGAAGATTCTTGCCAGACGGCTGGGAAGATACCTTCCTGGCTTGGTGGGCACCGATCAAGCYGCCTTTGTACAAAATCGATCTATCTTCGATAATATTGTTACAGCGATCGAAGCCTTGGAGTTGGTTCAATCTAAAACCTTGGATATATCAATCTTCATGTTTGATTTAGAGAAAGCGTACGACAGGGTTAATTGGACTTATGTCCTAACTACCCTGCGTCACCTGGGCTTTGGAGACAACCTACAGAAATGGGTAATAACTCTTTATTCCTTGTCTACCGCTGTTGTTATGGTGAACGACAATATTTCGCAGTCCTTTGCTCTTACCTGTTCTCTCCGACAGGGTTGCCCGCTTGCTCCCTTGCTTTTCGTCCTCCAAATGGAGAACCTCCTCTGTAATATCAGGGCAYATCCGGAGATAGTTGGTYTGCAAGCTGGTCCTTCTCAATGTAAGGTCATGGCCCTGGCCGATGATCTTTTTGCAGTCTCGGCTAACACGCACCGCTCTCTGCAATCCTTGAAAGTCTGTCTTGATGAGTATTCCGAGCTTTCGGAAGCTTCGGTCAACTGGGCCAAGTCTGTGTTCTTCCTCCCTAGGCTGTTTTCTCCTACCATCAATTGGGGCATGAAACGCATTTTTGGCTGATTCCTCGGAAAGATTTCTTGGTGTCCAAGTTTCCTTGCTATCCTGCTCAATTGAGCAGGAAGGAATTCTCCTCCATAAAGTACTCCGAAGAGTTTCTTTGTGGGGGAAAGCCCCACATTTATCCATCTACGGACGAGTTATGGTTGTAAATGGAGGCCTTTTTGCTTTACTGTGGTTCGTGGCGGCAGTTAGACCGCTGGGCAAGCACCTGTGCACCCTGATCAGACAAAGGACGRCCAAATTTATATGGAAACCGTTCGCCTCCGATCAGGAGTCCTACATGTCTAAAGTTGCATGGGATCTCCTTACTTTTCCTAAATCTGAGGGAGGTTTAGGTTTGTGCGATCCCCGGCGCAAGAACCTGGCAATGCTGGCCCGCTGGCTTATTAAAGCAATATGCTCTCCACAGACATATCATTGGATTGCCTTTGCTGAGGCGATCCTGTCACAAAAATGGAACTTGGTCCGCCCTTCCGATGTGTGGACATGCTTCCTGCTGCCTTCGTACCAAAACAGGAACATAAGGTCGCATTTCTGGAAGGCGGTTATGTATGCCTGGAAACTTTTAAAACCAGACTCCTGGCTTCACCCTGTTACAAAGGCAGAGGTCCTGCTGCAGCCTATCTTTGAAATCCCCATATCAGGAGGGCAGATGGCTCCTGGTTTGGAGCGGATTCAGGTCGTAACAGTTTCGGTCGAAGATGGATAGAATGAGGGATCCTCAGAATAGCTGATCTGTGGAATGTTTTGGAGGGACAGTGGCTCTCCCCAGCGGCCTTACGGGAATCTCTTGGGGCCTGCTGGTATGTTGAAGAACGGTTCAATGAGATCCTGAATGCCATTCCTGCGGAGTGGAAGTATTTATTGAGCCCGGAAGGTATTGATCCCCCAGGTACCTGGTACATTTCGAGGAATTTGGATTCGCCCCATATCTTTTGGAAACTTCAAAGCGTAGACGTTGCTGGCAACAGAGAATTTCAAGGTTGGGTTGGAATTAATGATCGATCTCCCTCCACCCTGATGGAGCTTGATCCCCCTGCTCAACCTTCATTGGGATCTCAGTTGTCTCAGATCACGGTGTGGGAATCTTGTGATGAGGAGGGGAATTGGTCTTGTGAGGTTCATGCTCAAGGCAAGCCACTAAGTCTGCTGAATTTGGATCCTAGGATGTGGGGTTGGAGAGGTCGAGGACAAGGAGGTGAGGAATTGCCCTTAACCTCCTATACTGTGGACCTTGGATATCAAGTTCAGATACCATCCAAAACTCCCATAAAAGTGGCTGCAACTCGTTGGAGACAAGTCTTGGACACCCAACCTGATGTGATTGAGCACCGTCTGCTACGCTGTTGGGAACAGCTGGCGGAAGCCCCTTACCCGAGATTGGCAGCTAATCTGTGGCTACTCTCCCTGTTGGCCACCCCATCAGCAGTCAACCTTGCACAAAGGAGTGTAAGAATGCAACTAGGCATACGAGTCCACCCCACATGTATGGTATGATTGCCCGGCTTCTAAACGAATTTGGGACTGGTGGGCGGAACAATGGCGGCAATTGGTGGGCATAGATCTTAACTGGGACAGAGAGTGGGCACTACTGGGTGGAATCCCAGACTTGGACACGAAGAAGGGTGCGGGTTATTTGGCACAGGCTGCAAGGGCAGTCTGCACGGCAGTGATCTGGAAAAGCAGGAATCTGCAACTCTTTGAGGATAGGGAAATGACTAACAAGGAAGTGAGGCAAATGTCGCGCTCCTTCCTGCAACGGATCCTCCAGGCGGATTAAAGAAGAAAGTCTGGGGCAAATTGGTCCAATTGGTTTGGGGTTACATGGGGAATAGGGGGCAGATTAGCTAGTTATGACAATGGGAAGCTGTCCTTGAACAGTTGGTTCTGGAACGAGTGATTATCTTGGGCTGCTTGAACCTGCACACTCGGTTGCTACTTCCACAGGAGGAAGGCGGTTCGGTGGTCGGTAGAGGTTTGTGGAGGGAGTGGTGCTGTTATGCTCTTCCGGTCCAGGTCGGTCCGGAACTGCCGTATTAGGCAGTTGTTTTCCTCTTCTTTACACTAGAGTGGTGTTGTAGAGTAGCTTGTTGATAGGTTAGAGGCAACCTAGTGGGAATTTTGTGTATTTTCTTTCGGCATCATGCATTCGGTTCTTTTGGTTTGTTAGGCTTTTAGGCTTGCAGCCGGTTCTTTTAATCCCTTTTTTGGATTGTTAGGCTCTTTGGGCTTGTAGCGTTTGTTTATTCTACAGGGTCTGATTCTTCAGGACAGTGGTCTTTGTGTTGGCCAATCTGTTCCTAGATATTCTTCAGCCCTGTCAGGTGGTTTGAGAACGTTGGAGCAAATGACTGCTCGCAGGCAATTGCCTGTAAGCTAAGCTGGCTGATGATGCCAGTCACTCCGGGTTGAATTGTGAGGACCCCGGCCTCTGTTTCATTTTGGCAATACAAGTAAGTTTCATAATATATATAAAAAAAAACAAAAAAAAAACGCCCACGTTTTTTACTTTTTTTATAGCCTCAGGGGTCTGGTCGCACCTGTGTTGTTGAGAAAACTCAACGCGGAGTTTTCTACGACGAGCGACAACGTTCGACAGGATGTGGCCGTCGACAGGGCTGCGATCCCACGGTTGGAAGTATYTCGAAATGTTGATGTCCTACCGGGTGATTTGAATGAATTTTTTTTTTGTATAAGGACTTCGAATGGACTCCCGCAATGGAGGGAAGGCGGCATGGGCAAGCGCCACGGAGTTGAGAAAGCTACCTTGCATGGTCGAGGGTAGGTTTCTCAACATGGTCGATGATAAATTTTGCGATTTTTGGGATTTTTAGTCGCCGTCTGCTGTTCCCCGTTTCTCCTATACTGTGTCAGGCACTTCGTCAGTGCAATGAAAGCCGTAACTGTCGTGCGTGGGCTCTATAAGGCCTCCCTCCGTTGCTCACCACATGCACAAACAAAAGAAAAAAGAAAGTCGATGTATGTTTCCGTGTTCTTGCCGATATTCATTGCTCTTTGGACCCACTTCGACGTCCTCGTGTTTCCACATCATATGGTACTTCAAGATACGCAGAATCCTCGACAGAAACCACTATTTTCGCATCATTTTCTTAAAATGAATAAGAACTGCTACGAATAAATCTGAAATGCATTTTTTGGATTAAAAAAATGCGGTAAATGATGTCACACCGTTGAGGTTTCTCAACTCAACGGCCGTAGGTGGGACCAGACCCCAGGTGAAGATGAGGAAAATTGAGAGAAGAGTATAGTTTTAGAAAAAAAAGAAAAAAAAAAGAAGAGACCTGGGCACCACAGCTGACGTAATATAGCACTTACCAGAGGGCCTTCCTCGTCAGAAGCGCGTCACGACTGYAAGATCAATACCAACCAATACACTGTGCGAACTACTCAGGGGCAGAGTCCATTGCTGCTATGTTTGTGCCTGAAAAGAATGAATTCGGCAGCAATGGTGACCAGGTTTGTGCTTTCTCAGTATGAGGTAACATACCACTTACCCGTGGGCCTTCCTCTTCAGAAGCCGGCTGCTGTAGACGAGGAGGCAAAAACGAATAGTATTCTACGCCAGAAAAACGAGGTTAGTATTCTACACTGTATTCCCTCTCCCTCCATTCCACACGGGACCCCTAAAGCATCTACGAACCAATGACAAAAGGAAGCCTTACGGCTCCCTGCCCTAAATGGCGGGATGCATAATCCCACTGTCCGTTGAAAATGCAATAGACAGTTCCTAACAGTCCCACACCGTCACACGGACTAGTAAACTATACTATTCCCTGGCATGTGGGCCGAGGCCCCCGGATATTAAGGTCGAGCCTTTGCCGCCTTTGCTGAATAGCACACCGGTATAGCCGTTGATTTTCAGATGCAGAGTTCGAACCCTGCCGGATAAAGTGAGGTTAGTGGTGATCCTGTTCAGAAAAAGAGAAACAACAGGGGGAAACAAGGCTCCTGTTTTTTTCTTACAGTCTGGGAGCCTAAGTCGTACCAAGTTTAATTTGTACAAGTCTGTGATCTGGGTTTGCCAGTCCCCTGCTCGAACGCACTCAAGAAAAATGACAAGAATGGGTTGGCAAAACCTGGGTCAGGGTCTGTGAAAACCCAATAGTAGGTCAGGGGAGTCTCTGAAAAACCCTTTGGTGGCTGTAAACAGGGGTGAACTTTCACGGAAGAAAGGGGGGAAAAAAATGGCTGTAATCAGTGGTCAAATTTTGTACAAGAAACTAGGGAAGTAATTGGCGGGAAATTCAATGTCAGACATATTAAGCTCGTGGATCTGTACCCGGACGCGTTTCGCAAAGAGATGCAGACAAGCACTTCAATGTCGATTTTCTACATCTCTCCACGGTGCACGTATATATTCAGGCATTTAATGGAATTTGATTTCCTTATTAAAAAAACAATATAGTGGGACCTAGCCCCCAGGGTACCTGTGAATTTTGGACTGGAAAAGCAGGCAAAAGCCATGCTGAATGAACAGGGGCGCTGTGGAGCGTCAGATGCGTATATGGTTGTGGGTGTGTGGTTGTGTTATTCGTCTGCTTATACAAATCTGGGCGTTTTTCTCTAAGATAGGTGCAGAGCATAGCCAGTGATCTGCGTTTTTGTATCTACGCGTTTGTGTATCTAAGCATGGAACATGCCTTGGTACAGAGTATAGTATCCAACCCTCTTTTCCGGAATGGAGGCTTGGGCGAAGTCCCATGGAGTGGCGGGTAGCAACGTAGAGTTTCTTGAATGCCTGGATGGATGGGGACGTGTTCGTTGATATGTACAGAAAGGTGCACTCAGTCTCCTCAACCACATATATCCAGGAATGCATTCATGGGCCCACGTCGGAGTAGTAAGCTAACGTTCATGTGACATGTGGTAGGCCTGTCCCAACCGTCCAGTTGGATGTCGCAAACTGTCGGGTGTGGCATGACATCTATTGGCCGTGGCGATCTCGCTGTTATCGTCAACTATTCTTTTGTTGACGGGATGTGCGGCTATGGCGTTTGTCTTCTCCAAGTTTTCTGCGGCCTGATGTTCAGCTAGACACAACACGCGATCGACACACACACACACACACACACACACACACACACACACACACACACACACACGCACGCACGCACACACACACACACCAACACCCCCACACACACACATACGGGTATAATGTTCTTGTTATAGCCGCGTTTGTAGACAATTGCAGTGAGTGCACTCTGGTGTTCTACGTCGTCCGGTCCTTATTATCCCAGTCGCGGGGATGCACTCGTATGTGCCTTCTGTACCGCCCCAGGGGTTCGTGTCTCATAGTACAGGGTTTGACCCGGATCTTCGCAGTTGCCCTTCTGTCCGTCCTACCTTTAAAATTCGTGTTGGTGTTTCTGGGGGGATTGACTACGAAGGTTTACAGCGGCATATCCTGGGAGGTGACAGTTCGAGTCATCGTGTTGAAAGCTCCTCGAATGCACATGCTTTGCCATCTATGGCAGTGTTACACGGAAACGAGGTGCATCGGTCATATCCGGTTGAATTGAACTCGCAGTTGCATGCACAGCGTCAGCGTGAGCAACAGTATTCACCGTCGTTGGGTTTGCACCCTTCAATTCACTGTCCGCCAGTGCAGGATGTTATACATCCTCCATACTTCGCATCGCAGAGCACGACTGGCAGCATCACGACACCTCATCCCCATCCGCTGTGACACAACTTGGATGGGTCATTGCTTCCTATAACAGCGGCTGGTGTGCGGGGTGTTCAACGTTTGTTGCCAACATGTGAAATTCAGCAGCCGTCCACAACGTTCGTGCATTCACATCACGCAGTTTCCCAACGTTCAGGGTCACACTGTGCACGCATAGATTCCCTGTGTGCAATGTATGGTCAACCCCGCGGACCCTCATTCGGAGTGAACGCACCTTTCTGCCATCCAGAAGGCATGCCATCTATTGTTGCAGCTGGGGCGATTGATAATTGTCCCTCACAGGTTCCGAGCAAAGCGGTGCAAGTGGGAGTTGCCGATAGGACGGGAAAGGGGTCAGGTTATCCGCTGTGCGCAGATGCTTTCATCGTCGGTCCTGGCAATAGCCCTACCGGGGGAGCTGGTCTTTGCACATCAGCGGTGGCGACAATGCCAGGCGGTTTCGCATCATCGCAGCCATCACAATCTAAATCACGTCCTAAATCAGATGGGCACATACGGAGAGGAGAGGATTCCATTCCTGTTGGACGGCCTCCGAACAGGGAAAATGAAAATGAGACCACTGCCACCATCGGAGATCTTAATGCTCCTCTGGAAGGCCAGGATGTTTCACATAGTGCATCTGTGGGGGCCGGGGAAGGTGGTGGGCAGACCGATCCAGGCATTGGTCACAATGGTCGGGATATTGGGTTGGATGGTGTTGCTTCTCAAGATGAAAGTAATGTGCGTGGCGGTGGACGTGGGAGTGATACTCATGTGGGTGGTGATGTGGGAGGGTCAGGCGAGATGCGGTGAAGGAGGCAACAGAAGATGAAGATACCTCTACATCATCCGATTACACGGACAGGTTCTTCGCCCGGTGCACATGCTCTGACTAAAGCTCATTAACAATCATCATTAGCGGCAATGCRTGGAAGGCACTGAACGCGGAATGTCACGTCATGTGGCAGCACAATATGTACATTATATTGTGATTGTAACACAAGGGTCAACAATGTACAGCGCATGGTCGCTGTGCGCTGGCTGGATGAGGTTTAGGGGTGTGTGTGTGTGTGTGTGTGTGTGTGTGTGTTTTAATCTGCATGTCACATTTTTGGTCACCTGTGACATTTTTGATTCGCACGTACACCACTGTGATGTATCTGTACCATAGGTTCGAAGATGAGGACAAGCCTCGTGCATAGCGAGGACCATTGTCCCAACGGCGAAGGTGTGAGACCGATGTAGCGATGGTAAATGTTCTTTTTTGTTGCCGAACTCCAGTACTGTTATGTATGTGTACCATAGGTCCAGTACTGTTATGTATGTGTACCATAGGTTGGGAGATGGGGACGATGTAGAGAACTTCAGGGTGGTGAATGTTGCACTATACCACCACCGTGATGTATCTGTACCATAGGATCTGAGTGCATAGATGGACGTTAGTGTACAACATGGATCTTCGTCGTCATGGGAAACGGACGAGGCAGAGTGGTTTTCTCTTAGAATTTCTTGTCTGTCTGGTTGAAGGTTTCTGTTTTCGGTTGTTTTTTTTTTGGGGCAAGTACGTTTGTGTCACAAACGAAGTTCAAAAGGGCCAAAAAAACAATAATGGGCAATGAAAAAATGGCCGTAGTTCGA